ATGCATTTGAGATAAAAACTTTTATGGGAACGCCCGACGTAGCGTACAGCACGTATATACAGTACGTGTCTGCCTGTTTTCGAATACGCGCCACGTGCGTGTCGATACACATTGTCCCAGACACGCTCTCTTGCCGGAGTTAAGCCACGCGTGGGGGGGGAGGGGGAGGGGGAGGGGGGGTCTACCGCGAAACTACGAAGTTATTGGCGACATATGCGAAAGTTCGTTTAACCCCTTCGTCCTTTCGATGAATATGCAAAAGCGGCGCCGAAACGAGCCGACGATGTTCCAATGCTCGTCGTCGCTCCAAGCGACGTGAAATTCGCTTCGGCGATGCACCGCACCGATTCAGGCAAGAGAGATCGATGTTTCGGGTCCTTTGAGTGCGATTCGAATCTCTAGTTAGGGACGTGATATACGGGAATACAAACTGTCCCGAGATGATCGCGCTTTATCGCGCAGCTAATGCATATTCCCGACGAAGAACGGATTAGAAATATATCAATCGATTTTACTCGTCGGCCTTTCACCGCTGTTGTCGGTTAATGCCGACATTGTTCAATAATAACTAATTATGCTGTACATAATTGAAGCTAATTTAATAAATGGCACTCGGTATTTGTGTCTTCACGCTCTTGGAATAATCCACATTGAGCGTAAATTGATAGATCTCTTAAATTTCTAAACAACAATAAAACTCTATCTTCGAAAACGTTAAATTTATTTCAAGGAGTATAAATTCGCCGGTCCCGTCTGATTCGTGTATGTGCGATTTTGCGCAAAAAGATAACGAGATAAACTTTCTGCATATTCCCGACGAAGAACGGATTAGAAATATATCACTCGATTTTACTCGTCGACCTTTCACCGCTGTTGTTACTACATTGTGCAATAATAACTAATTATGCTGTACATAATTGAAGCTAATTTAATAAATGGCACTCGGTATTTGTGTCTTCACGCTCTTGGAATAATCCACATTGAGCGTAAATTGATAGATCTCTTAAATTTCTAAACAACAATAAAACTCTATCTTCGAAAACGTTAAATTTATTTCAAGGAGTATAAATTCGCCGGTCCCGTCTGATTCGTGTACACTGATAGAAAAGTATGTAGTATTTGCGACTATAATTGCATAGTAAAATAATTATAGTCAGGAATATCATTTTTATAGTAATTATCACTATAATAATAGTAATAACAACCACATAGTCATAGTGATGCCAATAATAGTAAATTTAACTATACTTTCTATCATCCACTTTACTATTCGCATGGTAAACAAAAGTGAAGTGGTTCGGAATGTCTTCACTAGAGGGACGCGCGGTACAAGACTCTCTCGTATTTAAAAAACCGCTTAGGGTGTTATAAATACGGATAAGTTTACGCATTCGTATAAGCTTATCTTTTCTTTGAAAGATGCTATCTTGTACTATTCTTTATGAGTGCAAAGTGATGTAGTACACCTTACAACCATAAATAATAGTAAGAAGTACTATTATATGGTTTTCTATTATTATGAACACGGATTACAATAAATATATAGTAGTAGTA